CTTTTAAAGGATTAAAAATTTTAGAAATTCATGTAAGAAGAAAAGAATGAGACTTTATGAAAATCATAAACTAATATGAATCTATAAAGTGAAGAAAGGTAAGGATTAAGGAGGTTTGATACAAATTTTATGCAAATTTTTAAAGGGACACTTGTTCTAAACACCCCTTGGAGTAATTCAATGCATATAGAAACTTTGGAAGGTTCTTTTATGAAGGAATATATCTCTTGGATCAATGGATATGTCATTTGAATTCAAAGGAGTTGACGTTTGGACAAAATTTCAGAGGAAAATTTTGAATTCTTTTTTGAGGGAGGCAGCCTTTGATAAAAGATAGGGAATTTTAGGGCTTGTAAGAGGAGTTTCAGGGGCGCGAGTAGTGTTGTCTGGCATTAACGAGAGTTAGAGAGAGAGAGAGAAAGTCAAGGGCTTGGAGATTTTTTTTAAGGATTTTAAGAGAAGAGAGAAGGTGAGGGATTTCTTCTTCATTACACTTAGAAGAGAGAATTGAAAGTACTTGTAAAGAAAGTATTGAAAGTACTTATAAAAAGAGAAAGGCTTGGAGAGAACTTTTAGTAGTTTGCTTGGGAAAGATTGTGAGATAAGTTGTGTCTTTTATTTCTTTTGATTTGTAAACTTACTTTTATTAATGAAATTGATGTTTTTTTGTATCTTTCTCAAGAATTATGAGTAGTATTCTTTATCCTTCTTCCTACTTTAAGATATGATTTGCTTTGTGAAGAATTGATTTTGTTTTATACGGTTTTAGATGTCAATAATTTGTGATGATTTGAACTCCGATCTTCATTTAATTTTTGATGTAACCAATTAAATTATTAAAATGTTTTGAGAAATAATTGTTCCAAAAGGGCTATGATTTCTACAACATAGTGAGAGTCACAATTGATTTCATGGGAGAGGATGTCATCCATGGGGTTGAGTGCAAATAAATAAGGAAATATACATAGTTAGATGCAGAATTTGAGATTTTATGGTGACAGATTAAAATCCCTAATTTAGTCTAGTTGGAAAATTGATGCAAGGTTGTTAGCCCTCAGGGAAGGGAGTAGGCCAGCCAGTATCCTCTCAGCTTAACCACGGAATTAGGGATGGAAGTCTAGATTAGTCAATGTTCTTTATGCACCCGGAAGAGGGTAAAGAACATGATTGCTCCTATTTGATATATGTTTTCAAATGATTTCAATTCCTTCACAAATCATATACTTATTGTAAAGGGGAAGGATGCTTTCTTAAATTTGAACTTTTTGTCACAACATCTTAGTTTTAATTTTCGTAATTTTACTTTTGAAAGTTTTGCATTTAGTTTACTTAAATTTGTCTTTCAACTGCATTTATTTAGCATTCACCTATCACTTAATACTCAACTTTGCACTTTACTTTTTGTATTTTTAAAATAGTACTTTGAATTATAATTTTAGGAATTTATTTACAGACATTTCCAACTTTCCTGTGGGATCGATATCTAGGACTCCATTAGAGCTCTTTATTACTTGAGCGATACATATACTTGCATTGTATTTAAATGTGATTTGGTAGTTTAAAGATTTTTAAAAGATAAAACTATATTAACTAAAGTTATTTTGTTGGGAATAATTTTCTTATTTGCTATTGTATCTGCCGTGTGTATTTTGTAATATTGAAAAATATTTGTAAAATTAACACACTAAATCCATGTGCATCACTACATCGAAATCCTATGGCTTATTATTTAATTCTAAGGGAAGATTTATTGTTGTAGATCTGTTTGCTCTCTCGAAGTTGTTCTTCCATACATTCTTGTCATGCTACCCACAGTTAGCTCCAAGCTCCTTGTCGATGTGATAGCTTAGGTTCAAGGTTTAAGGTTTTACAGTTCTCGTGACAAGTTTTATTGTTGTTGTTGTTTAAATGTTATGGAATGGTTAAGGTTGATCAGAGCAACATAGGTTAGGGTTTCACAGTTTTATCTTATTGGTACCACTATTTTTTCTCAAATTTACTTAGTCTGAACGAGTTGTTAAGCTCATTTAAACTGGTGAGATCTCATTAGCAACCGTAGGTTACCTCATCGAGGGTCTCCTGTAAATTCAAAAGGATGTATTATGTTGTTTGTTGTTTTAAAAATGTAAACTTAATTTTGTAAATATGTTTTGTATTTTTCAGTTCTGGTTTAGTTTTGCATGTAAAGTGAATAAATGGAGGTAGAAAATGTTGTAAGGAAAATAAATAAAATTGTAAATGCATAAAATGTAAACACGTACTTAGTCTGTTGCTACCGCTGCATGGTTAACATCATAGAACATAATATATTTGCAGAAAATTTTAAATAAATTGCAGAAAAGTTAACTGGAGCATCTGACACAGAAAACATCAAAAAATGAGTCATAACAAAACACATGCAAGTGGAAGAAAACCCATACTCACATATGGAAAACCAGAACTAAGTGTAGGACATTGGTAAAGGTGGGAGCTCAGAGCTGGACTGTGTTCTTCCTGACCTAGCCACCAATCCAGTAATCTACGGAGAGCAGTCCTAACATTGATCTAAGTGATTAACTATAGACCTTTATAAATTTTCATTTTTAATTAAGTTTTCATGCATGTAGAACTTATTTTAACACGCAGAAGAAGTTTTATTTTTGAAAATAATTCGTAAAGTAGTGTATTCCACAGGTTAGTTACTTTGACCAAGCCAACACTGTAGGAAAGCTAAGAGCAGCGGGGGCAATAATTGCCTCAAGAGTCCTTGAATGGTATCATCGGTTCTTATCCTCTTTCCTTACTGAAGATCCTTGAAGTAGGATATACTATTCAAAATCGCACGTCATATCCCTCATTTTAGCACACATTAGCATTATTGTCATTTCCCTAACCACCCATAACACAAACTTACACAAGCTTAATGGTCCATATGTGGCAAGAGAAATATCCCCAGTAGCTCACAAGGACTTAATTACCTTAGGGAAGACTCAAATACTCGAGCATTGAGTCAATAAATATAGGATAAGCAGTGTAGGGCATTTTTATTGATTTAGGTGAATTATCAGGTCCCGATGCATAACTTGGTGAGTCCCTAAAAGTTTTAATGGATGATTTTCTTGAACAAAAAATAATAAGTTCAGTTGTTCTTCAAAATATCCAAAAGACTATGAAAGTACTCGGGGCATGACCCTAAATAACTTTTAAAACCTTTTAAACAGTTTTGAGTTCATTATTACTTATTATATTGTTTAATTAATCATCCGAAGTTAAATTTAGATCCAATGGATTAATCTACCCTATGCTCAATGAACCTTAATATTTTAATTATCCTATGAGTGGGGTACTCAGACATTCACTTGATATTTTATTTAGGAGTTATGTAAGTGGATGCCCTTAAGGGCATGCTCAAGTCATTAAGGATCTTGAACTCAAAATTAAAGTCAAGCTTGTAGTGTTTAATTTTAAGATGATTCTGTCTACCACTAGAGCTACACCAACCCTTTTAATGATATAATCATTTTTCATATTGTCTTTAAGTGCCAAGCTATTCATCCATCTAAGCATTCTCATCTCAGAAACACTTAACTTAGTATTATGCTTCTCTTTTATAGGCCAACATTCTGTGTCGTAAAGCATTGCCGGTTTCACCACCATCTTATAAAATTTACCCTTAAGTCTAAGTGGCACTCTTCTATCACACAATAGGCCTGATGTATTCCTCCACTTCAACCATCCAACTTGACTTCTACTAATAACATCCCAATCTATATAACCATCACTTCGAATAATAAACCTGAGATATGTAAAATGTTCGCTCCTTTTAATGATATGATCACCCATTGCTATAACTCTGCCACTATATCTACTACCATTAAAATTATATTCATGTATTCAATATTTTCATTTTCAGTTGAACCACATTAAGAATTGGTTGTAAGCTCATATCTTTTTACTTCAGGTATGGATGCTTTTACCGAACATATACAGGAGGTTGTACCTTGGTATATTTAGTTTTAGATCCATACAAATGAAGGTCTTTACAATCTAATGTTGATCTACATAATTCAATTTCTTCCTGAACTCATTTTCTAATTTAATCTACAAGAAGTATATCATCAACAAAAAACATACACCATGGTAAACCCTCTTATGAATGTCCCATAAGAGCATCCATAACTAGAACAAAAGGATATAGACTTAAAGCCCATCGCTGATGTTTGAAATTTCTTCAAAGAGATAAAAGATTGAGAAAATAAAATATACACCTTCCTCTATTTAGATGATCACAAAATTACTTAGTCGATTAAGTGGTGTTAACACATTAAACTCATAATGAACTCCACTAAGTCAGGCAAACATGCATACTCAACAGAGATATGACTATTACCTAACTCACTAAGCTAGCATACCCACTTGTGTACTAGGCCCAAAATCTTACTATAAGTAAAATTGTCTAAGCAATGCACTTGACACCAGCTATGCTGATTAGCTGTTCATCAGAATCTAGCTAACTTGGGTGTGGTAGATTAGCAATTTCATCAGAGTCCACTCCATATTTTAAAATCACATGCATATCAAATGTAGTTATCAAATTGTTGCAAACAGGTTTTCATTTTATGTTTTGCCTTCATTAGACAGCATAATGCAATTTATTCGGCTTCTTAAACTTTAGAAGTTATGCTTCAACTGCCCACTTACAAGTAGAATGTCATGTGGTAAGGGGATATGAAATCGTTGTATCTAGTCCTGTAACTTTTAACAATAAGAATTCACTCTATTTATATCAAATTCTTTTATATTGGTATATTATAAAAGAATTTGATATAAATAGAGTGAATTCTTATTGTTAAAAGTTACAGGACTAGATACAACGATTTCATATCCCCTTACCACATGACATTCTACTTGTAAGTGGGCAGTTGAAGCATAACTTCTAAAAATAAGACCACAAATTGTGCCGTCTCCGTATAAATTTAAATTTTGTGTACACTGCACATTAAAACGGTTCGTATCAATGCTTTATGTTAGTGGCGTAAAATTGTTCTTTTCCTGTGAGGGGTTCTGGGGCTACTGTTCAAGAGCTTCCAGGCGTTCCATTTATGTTTTTGTGTTCTCGTTATGGCTTTTTACCTGTCATTTTTTTTAAATCTCTCTTCTTCCTACTTTCTTTTCGTCCATGCATTTTCTCCACTTTTTCAAGGGACCAAATATCCTTAATTTTTTATGGCCCTCTCTTTGCTGCTTCCTTGTTCCACCTCGCCCAAAGCTCCTCCCGTAGTTCTCTCTGTCCGTCGTCAGAAGCCAGAAACTAAAACATCCTTGAATGAGCTATGTAAGCAAGGAAATCTCAAAGATGCCTTTTTCTACCTGGCCAACCCATCAAACCATTCATCCCTGAAAGCCTATTCATTCATTCTAGAGCTCTGTGCCTCGCAGAAGGCGGCTGCCCAAGGCCAGCAGATCCATGCTCGCATTCTTAAAACCAATTCAATTTGTTCTGATGAGTTTTTGTATACGAAGTCCTTATTCATGTATGGAAAATGCGGGTGTCTCAATGCAGCACAACAGCTGTTTGATGAATTGCCTCATAGAACAATTTTTGCTTGGAATGCACTGATTGGGGCGTATGCTTCTAATGGAAAGCCTGAAAAGGCTATTCAGCTTTACTGGAATATGCGGATGTTGGGTGAAATGCCAGATGGATGCACCTTTGCTTCTGTGCTCAAGGCTTGTGGTCTGGCTGAAGAGCTTCACAGTGGGAGTGAGATTCATAGTTTGGCTGTTAAATGTGGTCTGTCTTCTTTAAGTTTTGTTGCGAATGCTCTTGTTTCCATGTATGCAAAATGCGGGCAGTTTGGTCTTGCAAGGAAGTTATTTGAGTGGATGCAAGAGGATGGTGATGTTGTGCTGTGGAATTCTATTATCTCTGGTTGTGTGCAAAATGCAAATTATTCTGATGCTATTTCCCTGTTTAGAGAAATGCAGAGGATTGGTATGAGAATGAGCACTTATACTGCTGTTAGTGTCCTTCAAGCTTGCACCGAGTTGTCCCTTCTGCTGATGCTATTTCCCTGTTTAGAGAAATGCAGAGGAGTGGTCTGAGAATGAACACTTATACTGCTGTTACTGTCCTTCAAGCTTGCACCGAGTTGTCCCTTCTGAAGTTGGGAAGAGAGGTTCATGGCTCACTTCTTAAAAGCAGTATGGGATTTGACCTCTATGAAGAAAATGCTCTGGTAGTTATGTATTCAAGGAGTGGTCGTATGTCTGATGCAGTTCGCTTATTTAATGAGATGAATGAGAAAGACAATGTATCTTGGAATTCATTAATATCTGGATATGCTCAGAATAATTTGCATGGGAAAGCTGTTGAACTTTTTTGTCTGATGCTTGAAATGGGGTTTCAACCCGATCAAGTTTCTCTCATAACTGTAGCTTCTGCTTCGGTGAGGTTAGGGAACTTGTTGAATGGAAAGGAGATTCATGCCTACGCAATAAAGCGAGGCTTCGATTCCAATTTACAGGTTGGAAATGCACTCATGGACATGTATACCAAATGCTGCCTTGTAAACTATTCCAAGTTTATATTTGATAGGATTCCTATGAAGGATGTCATATCATGGACAGCCATGATTGCCTGTTATGCTCAGAATTCTTATTACTTGGAGGCAATTGAATTATTCAGACAAGTGCAGAAAGAGGGAATTGAAGCTGATCCAATGTTAATTGGCAGCATCCTACTTGCTTGCAGCAGTTTAGTTTGTCTTTCACTCCTGAAGCAGATTCATGGCTATACTATCCGACATATGCTACTAGATGATGTACTAGATAACACATTTATAGATGCTTATGGTGAATGTGGTGAGGTCAGGTATGCTCTGAACATCTTTGAAAGGATAAATAATAAGGATGTGGTGTCTTGGACAAGCATTATTACCTGCTATGTGGATAATAGTCTCTTTAATGATGCTTTAAATTTATTTGTAGAGATGATTAAAGCCAATGTAGAGCCTGACGAGATCGCACTCCTCAGTGTACTCTCTGCCATAGCAGGCTTGGCATCCATGCTTAAGGGAAAAGCTGTCCATGGTTTCATGATGAGAAGATGCCTAGGAATAGATGGATCTGTGAGTAGTTCGCTTCTGAATATGTATGCTCGGTGTGGTAGAATAGATGAATCTTTTAAAGTGTTTAATAGGGTTAGATATAAAGATTTAGTTTTATGGACAAGTATTATTGATGCTTGTGGCATGCATGGTCGAGGAAGGGATGCTATTGATTTGTTTGATAAAATGGAGACCCTGGGGTTAGTACCTGATCATATTGCCTTTCTAGCCCTTCTCTATGCATGCAGCCATTCCAGACTTGTTATGGAGGGAAAATTTTTTTTTGACAAAATGATAAAGGATTACATGTTGAATCCATGGCCGGAACATTATGCTTGCATTGTTGATCTTCTTGGTAGAGCAGGGAAATTGGATGAGGCTTATGAATTCATTGGAGAGATGCCAACCAAGCCAACAGCTACAGTATGGTGTGCCCTCCTTGGGGCTTGCCGGGTCTACTCCAACTATGAACATGGTAAACTCGCAGCTGAGAAGCTGCTTGAAATGGAACCAGAGAACCCAGGAAACCATGTGCTTATTTCGAATTCCTTCGCTGCAATGGGAAAATGGAATGATGTCAAGGAAGTGAGATCGACAATGAGAGAGAAAGGATTGAAAAAGGATCCTGCTTGCAGTTGGATTGAAGTTGGAAGCAAGGTTCATGCATTTGTTGCAAGTGATAAATGTCATGTAGATTCGTTAAAAATCTACACAAAGTTGGCTGAGATAACCCAACGTTTAGAGAAGGAAGAAGGTTATGTTGCAGATACTAGGTTTGTTCTGCATGATGTTGGGGAGGAGGAGAAAATAAAGATGCTTCATGCACACAGTGAGAGGCTTGCCATTGCGTTTGGTTTAATTCATATTCCTCATGGATCAACTATCAGGATCACCAAAAACCTTCGTGTTTGTGGTGATTGTCATGTTTACACCAAGTTGGTTTCAAAAGCTTTTAGACGGGATATTATTGTGAGGGATACCAATCGGTTTCATCATTTCAAAGATGGTTCTTGCTCTTGTGGAGATTTCTGGTGAGTAGAACATACCGTGATACCCGGATGAGTAATAGTTTGTCATCAATGTAGCAATAAGCTTTATTTAGTTGGGGAGTTTGAATAGCTAGAAACTTCGGAGTCCAGCCATTATGACAAGACCGTTACATTCATAGTATCTCTTCTGAACGGATGTAGAGTAGAAGAGGTTTGCGACCTTTCATTTGGTCCTGTTGCTCACCTTATTTCGCAAATTGAATTAGTCACAATAAATAGTAGGCTGGTTATCAAATTGGAAAACATAGATGGAGGATTCCAGGACTTGATTGATTTTTCATGTGCATAGAACCATTTACATAACCATATACATTTTTCTACTAATTTTACCTCGCAACTATCATAGTGGCTTAAATCCTGCTTTTCCTCGATTATTTCACACTATGTATAAGTATGTTCACTAGAATTACTATCCTCTATTCCTAAACCAATAGTTTTTCTACTAATTTTACCTCGCAACTATCATAGTGACTTAAATCCTGCTTTTCCTCGATATTTCACACTATGTATAAGTGTGTTCACTAGAATCTATCCTCTATTCCTAAACCAATACGGTACTAGGGCAATTGTTTGCAACTCTTTCGAGATTATAGGGATGCAAAATTGTACATCCAAGAGCCCACTTCAAATAAGGTATACCGTATTCCAAGGCAGCTCGATAGGATAAGAAAGTGAAATACATTTATTATTTAATGAACTATCTAGACATGAACTTGCCGAACTCATCATAATCTCGTTAAGTTCATGAAAAGCTCGCTAGGGACATGCTCGATTCAAAGCTCAACTATACCTCATTCAAAATACTAGGCTTTCTCGCCTAAACCTACTCGCCCACACTACGCTCAGAAAGTCAATGACTTTACCTTAGCTAGTCGATGATTTTACTTGATCGGTCGACAACTTCAATCATCAAACTAGTTATTTAATTCGTTGTTAAACTCAATCAATGTCCATATATATTTTAATATTTCATTTTGCTACATGGCTCGTATACTTTGATGTATTATTTTATTTTTCAACTAGCTTTCTTGTAGAGTTAAAAATCTTGGTAGAAAGAGTAGATTAAGAGGGAATTCTTACACCCATAGTAATGGATACTCGACTTTTATATTCTTATAAACCAAGTGAAACTTTAAAGCCTCTATTTCTACTATCAACTCAATATCACCTAGTAGATCTTGTAAGGTTCCATTATTGCTCTTGAAAAAAATTGAACCTAATATCATCTAAAGATTTAGTAAGCGTGCATTGATCCCAAGAATAAAAAAATCAACTTATGTAAGAAGTAAAACAATAAAACAAATGAGAATGATTTATGAACATGGAGGAATGAGACTCCTAACAAATAATCAACTGGCAAAGAAGAATGAAAGGTTAAAAACTGATCTCTAACGTTCCATTTATTTTTTATCACATTCAAAGTCACCTCTTAAATTCTTTTATGCCTTTTGTTAAGGACAATAATATTTTTTATTGATTTCTAAAAGTTGTTCATTACATAGCTCATAAGTGCCCATAAGCAGTCAATGATTTCATAAGCTTTGCTAAAAATGAGATAGGAGTTGGTGCTTTACTTGTACAATAGCTGAGGGTGATGTTTGATCCCAATATAAAATATAGTTGTGTAAAATTATATAGTTGACTCCGCTATACAACGGTGCCAAAAACTTGATGCAATATTTTATGAATTAGAAATTTAAGAAATTAATGTTGAGATTTTACGCAAATATACGTATCGTTATTAAGTAATAAAAGACTTTCTATTTAAGCCCCAAAAATTGTTTATCTTTATTTTTCTGCTTCAGTTTTTGAAAAAACAGAGGTAATGGTTTTTCTGAAGGACCTTGTGTTTCTTCATTTTCATTTTGGTCACTTTCCATTGCTTCCTTCTCTTTATCAACTTCAGTTTCTCTTTGGATCAATGTTTCTACTTTCAACTTCTTTTACACTTCGTAATTGAATAACTTTAATTTGCTCCTTATTTTGATCTTTTAGATTAACTTCCACCGTGCTTGGAAGAATTCTAGAAGGTCCGTTACTGAGTGCAGTAGCAATATGTCTTAATTGATTTTCAATATTTCTAATAGCAACCTCTTGATTATGTATTTGATTTTTCATGTTTAACATTACTTCTTCTATTGTTAACTTCTTTTCCTTAACTTGTGGGTTAGGATTAGAGCTAGATTTAGGAGGATAATAAGGTCGATAACTAGGATTTCCTTGGTTGTTCAAATTTCCGAAGGGATTTACCGAATTGTTATAATTATTACAACTAAAGTTAGGGTGATTTTTCTATCAAGGATTATAAAAGTTAGAATAAGGATTGTTATTTCGATTATTTATAGCATTTAAAGTTTCATAAGATGATTCAGTATCAATGATTTGTTCTAGTGAATTTTCCTTTAATACTGGGGGCATTTGAGAATTTTTCACTCATATTTGATCAAACTTTTTTCAAAATAGCAACAATTTAATATGCTAAAATAGACATTGCTTCAGAATCATGAATACTAGCTACTCTCTTAGGATTTACTCTTTCAGAGGGTCATTGAAAATTGTTAGTAGTCATTTCTTCAATTAAGGAATATGCTTCATCAAAAAGTTTTGACATTAGTGATCCATCCGCAACAGCATCTATAATAGATCTAATTGATCGTACCAATCTATTATAAAATATTTGAATTATTAACCAATCTGGTAAAGCATGGTGTGGACATTTTCCGAGAAGATCTTTAAATCTTTCCCAAGCTTCATATATCGATTTCTCTTAAAACTGACAAGAAAAAGATGTAATATGATTTCTAAGCTTAGCAGCTTTCGAGGGTGAAAAATATTTAGTTAAGAATTTTTGTGATAGTTCTCCCCAAGTTTTGATAGATCCAGGTGCCAATGAATTTAACCAAGTCTTGGCTTTATCCCTTAGTGAAAAAGGCTTTAAATCTTTCCCAAGCTTCATATATCGATTTCTCTTAAAACTGACAAGAAAAAGATGTAATATGATTTCTAAGCTTAGCAGCTTTCGAGGGTGAAAAATATTTAGTTAAGAATTTTTGTGATAGTTCTCCCCAAGTT